TGTGTTTTGTTTTGGTGTTGGGGAATATTTTTAATATATTTTAAAATATCACCGAAGTTGACCTTTTTTAAGTAACGGTTTTATTAATTTCAATAAAACTTTTATTCAATTGAAGCCGGGGAGACAAACCATCAAATAACAGGCTCAAAAATTCCCTCAAATCGACAGGTTCTTGCTGTGTTGCTTTTTAATATAAGTGATTTAAAATTTAATGCAAGTGTACCACATGATTTTCCTTCGCAAGACGAAATAAAAAGTACCCATTTCGCTTTAAATGAGGAACCTTTTCAGGAGACACCAACCACTGTACTGCCGTGCTTAATGAAAACGCCGTAACCAACTATTTTGCGATTTTTGGTTTACGGCATTTTCTACTAGAACAATTCATCCTGCGTCTATTTCCGGTACTCAAAAACCGTATAGGTATAGATACGGTTTTTGAGTACCTTGGATAGACGCAGGATGAATTGTTCTAGAAGAAAATGCCGTAAACCAAAAATCGCAAAATTGTTGGTTACGGCATTTTCATTAAGTACGGCAGTGTAGTACCGCCTGAATCTTCAGGGAAAAGAGGAATAAATCATTCTATTTTAGCCGCCTTAGACAGGTGCTAGCTGGCCAGCTAAGTTTTGGGGGACTCAGTTTTATTCTCCTGGCCACCGTGTATCAGTGTAGATAAATACTTCATTATTAAGTCGTCCATTTGAAAGCAAAGCGCAGAATCGGCAAAAACAGATTTTCAAAATCATGTGCCTGATGTAACTACTTTTCATTGGGATGGAAAACTGCTTTCTGGGTTAGACGTCAGGAGTTCTAAAGAAGAGCAGTTACCTGTGTCAATCAAACGCTTCATGATTGGAACTTCGATAGCCAGGGGCCAGGTGCAAATAATGTGCTGTGACACAACAACCTCTAATAGTGGCAAAGAAATCGACATATAAGTAGCATTTTTTAAAAGTCTATTTTAAGAGATGATTATCGTAAGCTGATCGAGTTATCCATCATATTTTTTGGTAAAGATGAAGATAAAATTTTGGCTGATTTAGGGAAATTTCTTGCAATTTACAAAAGAGGTATATGCCACCTAAAGAGGATATGTTTCTATGGTACGTTTCTATGCTAGTCGTTTGTATGAATAATTTTTATTGTTGCTAATAAAAAGCATTTATTGCTTTAGGAAAAGCTTGGATCAGTTTGTATTTACCTTAAGTAAGAATGTGATTTTAAGATTAAAGATTGAAAGCGTCTCAATATGGAAAGATAATCCTGTTTACATGGAAGCCCAAAGAAAAGTTTACCATCACATGCAAGGTTTTCAAGGCAAATCGGTTCAGAAAACTGTATCCTAAATGTAAAAAGGTGACTTAAAAGAAAGTATCCTAATTAATTTAAAAAAAAATTTGTTTTAAATATATTTAACTTTTGTTTTTGGTTTATAATTTTATTAAAAAAATAATTATAAAAAAATTATTTTTTTTAAGTAGATTCCCAGTAAACACATACACGTTTTTTAAACGTATTTAAAACGTGTGAAAGGTCAATAAAACGTCTTACGTAGAAAAAGCAACGGTTTGATATTGGTATAAATTTACACGAATTAATTTAAACGTTAAAACAACGTTAATTTAAATATGCTTTTTAATAGTGCCTCACTTTTACGTTACAATAACGTTGTGTTAAGGTGTTCAATCAACCATATATTTAAATGTCTAATTTAAACGTTAAAACAACGTTTATTTAAATATGCTTTTTAATAGTTTCTAACTTTTACGTTACAATAACGTTGTATTGAGGTGTTCATTCAACCATATATTTAAATGTTTAATTTAAACGTTAAAACAACGTTACTTTAAATATGCTTTTAAAAGTGACTAACTTTTACGTTACAATAACGTTGTATTAAGGTGTTCAGTGAACCATATATTTAAATGTTTAATTTAAACGTTAAAAGAACGTTAATTTAAATGTGCTTTTTAATAGTGACTAACTTTTACGTTACAATAACGTATTAAGGTGTTCAGTCAACCATACATTTAAATGTTTAAATTGCGTTTCAACCCACAATTTTTTTTCACAAATATTAAGAGTTTTAATGAGAAAATAACCTTTGAAGTAATTATTTTATGAACTGTGCAGGCACCTCTTTCTTTTAACATTTATAATATGTTATATTCAACACGCTCCATCGAACACTTTTTATATTTATTTTGTGAAATGTTTGCTTAGTTTACACATATAGACAATATGACTTATTTAAAATCTGAAGGTATAAAATCTAAGAATTTTGTTCGTTAAAAAAATGAATTATGAATGAATGTTAAATGAATAATTTAACTTTCTCACTTTTTCAAAAGTATATTTTTATAAAGTTAATAAAACGGTTTTTGTCAAATACAAATATACTTTTATCCACATCGCTTTTCTCTAAAATGGGATAACTTGTTTAAAAATAATTTATAACGTTTAATATTTAATAAACTGATGCAACATGTATACATACATAAACAATATACATAGGTATACATATATATATAAACAACATTAAATGAAATTTAAAAATTTTCTAATTACATTCTAAAGAAAAGCATAAGTAATTCTATAGTCAATGGTCATACAGTAAGCTATAGGAAGAACACTATACTCATCCACAAATGTTGCTTTAAAATGTGCATTATTTTATTAACATTCTTTAAACTAGACAGTTACTGTAATAGATAAAAATAACGTATTTAATACGTTTAAACAAACATACTTAATACGTTTAAACAAACGTATTTAATACGTTTAAACAAACGTATTTAATACGTTTCAATAAACGTACTTAATACGTTAATACATACCCATATAAAACGCATAACTGAAGAACGCAATCTGATTGGCCGAATACACATCATGTGATTGGGCCTGCCAATGGCAGGCTGCCATGCCAAAGCTGCTCGCTATGTCAGTTTTCAATTTGATTTTGCCATCAAAAGGTGCATTTTTTACGTGTTTTTTGCTCGTAAGTTCGTCCTGCTTTTGGTAAGTACTTTAATGTAATTGTTTTAAAACATACACACTGCTCTTATTATAATTTGTTAACATTAAACTGATTTAGATTAAACACAATACTCATAAATGTACTGTACAGATGTTAAAATTGTGGAGAGTCCATTATTTCCAAATTTAGGATCGGTCGTGTATTTTTACCGTAAATTGGAATTAGGCGTGATTCTGCTATTTCGAGAACACTCTTATTATACCGGGTGCGCTAAAAATACCGGATTTTTTTTATCAAATTTCAGCCCAGCTATAATTCTACAATACAAATTTTTGAATTTAATCTGTTGAACAACAAAGCCAGCTGAAAACAAGCTTTTTAAGCCATTTTTTTTTAATCTTATAGGGTTTTTCGAAAAATTCGTCTATTTTTTATCGTTTAAGAAATTTATTTTTTGTGTTTTAGTAGCAGCTAAATTTTCCCGCAAACGATAAAAATGATTCACCTGAAGACGGCTGGAGAAAAAAATCTTTGTCTACAACCTTTAAACACCCTGTATTCATGTTGCAGTTAACGTTAAACGAACGTTTAATAAATACGTTGTAAAAACAACTATTTGTGGAGTTTTATTTATTATAGAACTAACGTTAGAAAGGACATTAATATGAATTTAAATATAACGTTATAAATGAGGCAAAAACAATCATTAATTTACGTAATTAATAGACGTATATTAAACGTGTTAAATGTAACATTTCAAAACGTGTAATGATCGTTTTCTTAACGCCAAAATTAAACGTTTATTTATTAGTATTGTTAAACGTTATAATCTGCGACATTTTAAAGTTGATTGTACGTTATAAATATACGTAAAAACAAAATGGTGTTACGGTTTAAAAAAACGTTTAATTAACGTATGTGTGTTTACTGGGTTTTCCAGAGTGCCTTGCCCCAAAATGCTTTTTTTCAGAGTCTCGACCTAATTTTAAAAAAATTGTCGATGTTCTAAAAATTAGCTATTGTAAATAGGAACAACATCTGATATTTCCGATTGATCAGTAAATTGGTTTACGAGAAATCGTAAAATAGTACTAAAAAAAATACAATTACAGATAATCGCGTTTAAAGTTTTTCATAATCTAATAAATTATAATTTAGTTACCGAAAGCGTTAATCAAAATTTGGTTTGCACACATATCTAGTTTTTTTCGTAGATTCGATTTTTTTTTAAGTACAACATCCCTATTAAAAATCCAAAGTTACCCCTCGCTCCTCAAAATACAGAAAGGCGGCAGCTGTTAAAAATATATTTAAATATGTCCCCCCACCTCTCTATTATAATAGAAAGGTGGGGGACATATTTAAACATATTTTTATAGTTTACCAAAATTTCATAACAAAATGTAAAACCGTTTTCTAAATATCCCCTTGTAACTCACCCGGTATACAGAAGTAATACAGAATACATGCCAATAGCAATAAACAAAGAAATAGTATATTACACTACAAGGGCCGAAAGTTCATGACGCGCAGGACCGAGATTTTAACGTTTGGCCCGTGTGGTGTACACTATTTTTCTTCATACATCGGTAGAAAGTACTTACTTTCGTCCCTAATAGCAGTGACGAAAGTTTACCTCGGTCGAAAGTAAGTTTCGTCCCTAATAGCATAGGGAGTAAATGTTAAACTTTCGTCCCTGCTATTAGGGACGAAAGTAAGTACTTTCGAAAAAGGTAGGAAGAAAAATAATATTTAACAACAAATATTATTGTTTGATTGCGCCGGCCTTGCTCGCTCATGAATTTAATCTTCGAAAAATAAATACGATAAGTGTTTTTTTTAGAACTGGTAGTAATAGAAGTCCTAAACATACGCATGCGTATGAAAAAAATCATAACTGATTCCATTTACTTCGTAAGGATGAAACAAACTTACTACATTATAATGTAGTATTTTTAGTCAAAAATGATTTACATGATAAATTCTATAAAAGTAAGTAATGTACATTGGGTATACATACCATAATCACTCATATTGTCCTCTTCCATAGTATCTTTATTTTTAAAAATAATATGATGTGTATTTTTAACACGATTAATAGGCAATCCTGTATCGATGGATACCTCAGAACTTAATTCTCCATCAGAATCCAAATACATTTCATCATCATAACTAGAATAGTTTTTTTTCATATTTTTATTATAGCTAAGTCTTTGTGGAATAGGCCGAATAATTAAATGTGAGCCAATACTTCCTTCCTAAAATTTATAAGATAATTAAGTTTTGTAAAAACTTGTTTGGAGAATGCATGGAAATTAAATTAATTTACTTAAAAAAAAATAAAAATATCAGTAAGGTTTAGATTTGTATGTTAAAATCAAAGAATAAAAAAGCTCATTGGGCAAAAAAATCGTCCATAAAGCGTTGTGCCTATTTAAATCATAAACTATGCGAAATTAATGTTGTGACGCTTGTAAAATAGCTACAACACGTTGTGTCTAGCAAAAAGATCACAATGGCTTTTCTGTTATTAAACCACTACGCGTTGTGGTCTGGTAAAAAGCCATAACGCGTTATAAAAGTTGCAACCACGATATATTTTTATTATTATTAGTTTATAAACAAATTATTCAAAATCCTAACTATTCGAATAGTTTGATTTAAAATTCGAATAATTTGAACTATTTTTGACGTCATTTTTTAACATTTGTTATCAGCTATTTTTGACATTTGTTTTCTGTCATTTTAGACATATATATTAGGGTGTGCCAAAAAACCTCGATATTTTGTTTTTCTTGCTCTCCACCCAAAATATCGTAGAATATGTCCGAACAAATATTCTGTTAAAAGCGGAGCTCATAATTTCAATTTTAAGAGGTCCTCCATCGAATCTGAAGTTTTGCCGCTTAAATAACACAGAAAACTGACTTTTTTACCTTATTTATTCTTGCAACCTAGGAAGAAATTTTTATTTCATAAAATCCATGACTTATTCTTACAAAGCATTAAATTTGGACAAAAAAATCTTATTAAGCTGAATTTCTATTTTCAATATTTGATTTTTTACAGAGCTTTAAATTTAAAGTTACAAAAATACAAAAATAATGACTTTATACGCCTGTAACTTTAAGAATATTGACGATACAAAAAATTCGCCTAAAACTTTTTTGTGGTCCATCAGACAAGCTACTTTTTCGTCTAACTTAAATAGTTCAGCTGAAAAGGGCAAAAAACGTAAAATTTTAAATTTAAAGCTCTGTAAAAAATCAAATAATGAAAATAGAAATTCGGCTTAATAAGATTTTTTCTTCCAAATTTAATGCTTTGTAAGATTTGGTCATAGTTTTTATGAAAAAAAAATTTCTTCCTAGGTTGCAAGAATAAATAAGGTAAAAAAGTCAGTTTTCTGTGTTATTTAAGCGGCAAAACTTCAGATTCGATGGAGGACCTCTTAAAATTGAAATTATGAGCTCCGCTTTTAACAGAATATTTGTTCGGACATATTCTACGATATTTTGGGTGGAGAGCAAGAAAAAAAATATATCGAGGTTTTTTGGCACACCCTAATATATATACAGGGTGGTCCAGGATTAATCTGAAAAATTTTAATGATAGATAGAGCCTGAAAAAACAATACAAAAAAACCCAAAAACATTTTTTTTTAATGCATACTAACGGAGATATAGTCCTTTAAAATAATTTTTAAACCATTAAACCGATTCTTCTCAAATTTTGTGTAGGTTAAGCTTCCGTCGATAATATAATGAAAATTTCCTACAAAAGGCCCAGTGGCGAAGATTTTGGGGGGATTCCCCTTTTTATCCTCATATTTTCGACGCCACTGGATTTTATTAGAAAAACATCAGAAAATCATTTATTTTTATCCTTTTTCAATGTAAAAGCAAAACTTTTATGTTAATTTTTTATCAGATCAAGGGTTTCGGAGATATTTCAGTTTAAAATTTCAAAAACACTGTGTATACGGAACTTTTGTTATTATTTTAGTAATAAAAATGATTTTTTTTCTGAACGATTGTATTGGGCCACCAATGAAATAATGGAATAATCGCTTTCAATAGGGTGATTATTCGATGTTGCTAAACTGATAACGTGGCATAATTATTACCAAGTTACCGATTTAAAATAAAATATTATGATAAAATTCTGTGTACTCGGTGATTTTGAAATTTAAAAGTCAAATATCTCCGAAACCACTGATCTTATGAAAATTTAACACACAAGTTTTGCTTCTAAATTGAATAGGAAATATGATGATTTTCCAATAAAATCCAGTGGTGTCGAAATAGGGAGGTAAAAAGGGGAAACCCCCAAAATCTCCGGCGCTGGGCCTTTTGTAAAAAATTTTACCTACACAAAATTTGAGCAGAATCGGTTTAATGCTTTAAAAGTTATTTATAAAAAAAAACGTTTTTTTGCCTTTGAAGGGATATTAGTGTGTTAGTGTGTATTTTTGAAAAATGTTTTTGGGTTTGTTTTTATTGTTTTTTCAGACTCTATCGATTATTAAAATTTTTCAGATTAATCCTGGACCACCCTGTATATATATTAGGGTGGGTCAAAAAAATCGACTATTTTTATTTTGACTTCTGCCACTGAAAAATCGGTTTCTAGGCACCTTCAAAACATGCTTAGCAACGATGAGCTCTTAACTTTGATGGGAAGATCCGCCTCATTACAGTTTTGCATATTTTTCTTAGTCCCCTACAAAAAAATTCATATCTCATCATTCGTTAATTATACAGCAAAACTCTAAAGGAGTTATTTGTAGAAAATTAAATGTTCTACAAAAAAAATATTTTATACTTTTTTGATTAATCTAACTATTAAAGAGATATTCAATGTCAAAGATTGAAGAATTTTAAGAAAGATAACTTTGCTTTTCTGAATTTTGTAACTTACTGAAAAAAAATTATCGACAATTGAGATTTTACTATGTCTATTGGAAATTGAACGCTCTACAAAAAAGGTCTCTTAGGATTTATCGATTACTCTAACCAATCAAAAGATATTCGCATTGGAATGTCAGTGCATACTGCTTTTCATATGCGAATATCTTTTGATTGGATAGAGTAATCGATAAATCCTAAGAGACCTTTTTTGTAGAGCGTTCAATTTCCGATAGACATAGTAAAATCTCAATTGTCGATAAATTTTTTTCAGTAAGTTACGAAATTCAGAAAAGCAAAGTTATCTTTCTTAAAATTCTTCAATCTTTGACCTTGAATATCTCTTTAATAGTTAGATTGATCAAAAAAGTATAGGAGATCTTTTTTGTAGAACATTTAATTTTCTACAAATAACTCTTTTAGAGTTTTGCTGTATGATTAACAAATGATGAGATATGAATTTTTTTGTAGGGGACTAAGAAAAATATGCAAAACTGTAATGAGGCGGATCTTCCCATCAAAGTTAAGAGCTCATCGTTGCTAAGCATGTTTTGAAGGTGCCCAGAAACCGATATTTCAGTGGCAGAAGTCAAAATAAAAATATTCGATTTTTTTGACCCACCCTAATATATATGTTTAAATATATATTAGGGTGTTCCTTATTTAGGGGTCGGAAAAAATTTAACAGAGCCGCCCCCCAAATCGGTTCCAAATCATAAAAAAAAAATTCCTGCAAAATTTTAGGTCATTCGGTCAAAGGGAACACGTGCCCCACAGGGGTTTTTTAAGAAATAATTGAGAAAATTCGGAAGGCTGATATAACTCCGAAACGGTCCATCGTAGGAAAAAAAAGTGTATATAAATTTTATGTGTTTTTTTTAGATAAACAACTTTTGTAATAACAGTCCTGCGTTAAAAAATTTTATTCGGGGTCAAAACGCGATAAAACGCTTTTTTGTGTACTTTAGCGCTACTTACTTTTTCAATTTTCTGTCCTAGAGCATCGACCCAATGACATAAATTGTAGGGGACAATGCACCCTACATTTTTTGTTGACAAAATTTTTTTCTTAAACTAACCGATTTTGAAAAAAATTAAATCCAAAACTTTTTGAGTTTTCACTAAAAACACGTTGTGCTCCGAAACTACGAAACGGTTTATCGTAGGAAAAAAAAGTTAAAATATATTTTGTAGTTTTTTTCAAGCTAATCAACTTTCCTAATGCCTTTGTCACAATAGTGTTAATGTTAATGGTAATGTTAATAAAGCATAGACAAATGCGTGTATCAACGCAAAAAAAAAATCTTGCAAAGATTTAGAAAAAAAATTTTAATCAAAAAATGTAGTCCCTACAATTTATGTTATTAAGTCGATCGAAAATTTCAGAAGTAGGTAGGGCCAAAGTACCAAAAAAAGCGTTGTATCGCTTTTTGAACTCGATTTTTTTTTAACGCAGCACTATTATTATATCTCACAATAGTGTTAATGTTAATAGTAATGTTAATGTTAATACCCAAAGCATAGAAATATGCGTGTATCCGTTCACAATGATGGTAATGTTGATGGTTACGTTGATACACGCATTTGTCTATGCTATATAAACATTACCATTAACATTAACACTATTGTGACAAAGGCATTAGGAAAGTTGATTAGCTTGAAAAAAAACTACAAAATTTATTTAAACTTTTTTTTCCTACGATAAACCGTTTCGGAGTTTCGGAGCACAACGTGTTTTTGGTGAAAACTCAAAAAGTTTTGGATTTAATTTTTTTCAAAATCGGTTAGTTTAAGAAAAAAATTTTGTCAACAAAAAATGTAGGGTGCATTGTCCCCTACAATTTATGTCATTGGGTCGATGCTCTAGGACAGAAAATTGAAAAAGTAGGTAGCGCTAAAGTACACAAAAAAGCGTTTTATCGCGTTTTGACCCCGAATAATTTTTTTTAACGCAGGACTGTTATTACGAAAGTTGTTTATCTAAAAAAAACACATAAAATTTATATACACTTTTTTTTCCTACGATGGACCGTTTCGGAGTTATATCAGCCTTCCGAATTTTCTCAATTATTTCTTTAAAAACCCCTGTGGGGCACGTGTTCCCTTTGACCGAATGACCTAAAATTTTGCAGGATTTTTTTCGACCCCTAAATAAGGAACACCCTAATATATATATATATATATATATATTAGGGTGTCCCTTATTTTTATTTTTTTTACGCATACCCTCTAATTATATTTATTACTTGTTTATATACTTCCAGTAAAAATTTCAGCTCATTCTATAAACGGGAACCCGTGCCGACTTGCATCTAAACCCTCCGTTAGCCAACGTTAGGCGCGCGCGGTAT